TGTACTTGGCTAGACTGGCAAAAAGTCTCTCATATGTGGTACCCCCATACTCGGGAGACGTAGCAGAATGTATTTTGGGGAGTAATTCCACATATACATATGGCTTGTGTGAACAATAAATTATTTCAATGACAATTTTGTGTAATTTTTTTTTTTTTGTCATTTTCCAAAACTTGTGGTAAAAAAAAATAAATTCTTCTATTGATTCAACATGACTCTCAGCAAATAGTTTGGGGTGTCTACTTTCCAAAAAGGGGTCATTTTGAGGGGCGGGGGCATTTTATGCCCAGCATTAGAAGTTTATGCCACACATCACTCACTCTTCTAACCACCTGAAGCCTTTTCTGACACTTTGTTCACATTAAAAAAAAATCAGTATTTTTGCTAGGAAATTAAAGTGAACCCCCAAACATTATATATTTTTTTTTAGAGCAGACACCCTAGTAAATAAAATGGTGGGTGGTGCAATTTTTTATCTCACATATTACTTACACAGCGATTTTTCAAACGCAATTTTTTTTGAAAAATACACTTTTTAATTTTAATGCACAAAAACACAATATATTGGCCAATTATTTGGTATGATATAAAAGATGATGCTATGCTGAGTAAATAGATATCAAACATGACATGCTTTAAAATTATGCATGCCCTGTGCAATGGCGACAAACTGCATACATTTTTAATATCTATAGGCAACGCTTTAAAAGCCTTTACAAGCTACCATTTTAGATTTACAGAGGAGGTCTAGAGCTATAATTACTGCCCTTGATCTGACATTCATGGCGATACCTCACATGCATGGTGCAATCGCTGTTTCCATACTGGCACAGGGTCAATGCTCACGGCCACAGGTGTGCGCGTGCGCGGATCGGCGAGGGTCCTTTTTTTCTGATTTAATTATTTTTACACTGTCCCTTTAATTTTTTTTTTAATCACTTTTAATGCTATCTCAGGGGAGGGGGAGGGGGGGGGGGGGGCATTTTCTCCCACTGCTTGTAAAGGCAATCCTGCAGCTAATTAACCACTAGGAATGCTTTTACATGAAAGCCCATTGCCGGCTGAAAAAAATGATACCAGGATGATGCCTGCAGCTGCAGGCATCACCCTGGTATAACCATTCAAAGTCCAGTGATGTACCAGTACGTCGCTGGTCCTTGTTGGGTGTATATGCTATGTTCTTTTTTTCTTTATGCAGCCTGTGGGCTGAATGAAAAAAAAGAGGAAATCTCTGCCAGAAAAAGTGTGTGTGGTATGCCCACCATTAGAAACCTCCCTGCATCCACCCACTTCTAATGGTGGGCACACATGAAATGTGCCAACAAATATAAAATATATATGCCGAAGCATAGGGGCCATCCACCCACTGGCCACCGCACGCCCCCATGCTTTGGCATATATCTCTTTTTTTTTTTTTTTTTTTTTTAACTGCGGATGAAAAATCTCATCCAACAGCGCTGCCCACGCTGACTTATGTCTATTTTGAGAGCAAGTTCCTGTTGCTGTCAGAATAAACAGGTCAGTGCTGCAGCTGAAAGCATTCCTGCAAACAGAAATGGTTAACAATAAAACAGTAAAAGTAGAACAATCACAAAAATGACAACAAAAAAAACTATTTTTGGTTTTTACATTTTTTTTATTTTTTGGGGGGGGTTTGTATTTAATTTTTTTTTTTTTTTTTTTAACTTTTTTTTTTTCAAACTTTAAACATTTTTTAAAACAGCTGGTAGGGTCTCTCCAAATGCAATAGCCAGTTTCCTGACTGCCTAACATCTTTCGAGACCCTGTGTAAATGTGCCCTGATCTGTGCCGTGCTGTACCTTATACTAATAGTCAACTAGTGTATGGTAGAGGCGGAAGCAGGGCTTGACGCAGAGGCCAGGACAGGAGGGACAATAGCGGCTGTCACGCCTAATTCCACGTTTGCTGCAGATACGACACCTTTTTTGGGGTCTTCTTTGGGTTGGGGTATCAGGAATGGTATCGGGAAAATGTCTCTCATGCAGACGGCTAACTGCATCTGGGATAGGGGTTTAGGGCGCAACACCTTCTGGATACAAAAGGGCCCTGTTGATCTCTAACTGGAAATTTAGGTATGATCCACTATGTCCAGTTGCTTTATAGAGAACAGAAGCGTTATATACAGCCAATTGAAATAAACAGACACTTTTATGTACCAGCGTCTGGCTTTTCGGGAAACTAAGTACAGCTTCATCATCTGGTCGTTGAAGTCCACCCCTCCCTTGTTAAGGTTATAATAGTGGACACAGAGGGGCTTCTCAACAACACCAGCTGCCGTGGTAATTTGGACGGTCGTATCTGCGTGAATGGAAGACAGGAGGTAAACATCCCGTTTGTCCTTCCACTTCACTGCGAGCAATTCTTCAATTCTCAAGCAGGCTTTTTCCCCCTTTTTAAGACGGGTATTTACAAGCCGTTGGGGGAAGCCCCGGCGATTAGATTGCACAGTGCCACATGCGCAAATTCCCAGATTGAACAAATGTCTAAATAGTGGCACGCTTGAATAAAAATTGTCCACGTATAAGTGGTACCCCATATGGAAAAAGGATGACGCCAAGTCCCAAACTATCTTGCCACTGCTCCCCATGTAGTCTGGGCATCCGGGGGGCTCCAAGTGATCTTTTCCCTCGTAAATCCGAAACTTGCATGTATAGCCTGTTGCCCTCTCACAGGTCTTCTACATCTTGATCCCATATCTGGCACGCTTGCTGGGGAGATACTGTTTGATTAGAAGGCGGCCAGAATATTGAATGAGGGACTCATCGATGCAGATGTTTTTATGGGGAGTATACACATCTGCAAATTTTTGGTTAAAGTGATTTACGAGGGGCAGAATTTTGTGGAGCCGGTCAAATTCAGGGTCACCCCGAGGATGACTGAGTGTGTTGTTGCAGAAGTGCATAAAACCATGGCAGCAGAGAACACGGACATGTGAACAAGCGGGTCTGTGGACCAATACAACCGCAATTGATTTTTATTATTAATGCCCATGTTGAGGGTTAGGCCCCAAAAAAACTTTAAATTCGGAAACCGTAATGGGTTTCCATGCGAATGGTCTGGCAAGGTATGAATTTGGGTTGGCGGCGATATATTGTCGTGCATATAAATTGCTTTGATCCACAATCAATGCATAAAGATCTTCTGTGAAAAACAGCTCAAAAAAATCAAGGGGGAGTATTTAAATTTGCCGTTTCCACCTGAATTCCGGGTTGGGCAGTGAATGGGGGAAGTATGTGTACTGCAGAATTTGTGGGCTGCCAATCGGGATTTGCAAGCACATCCGGAAGGACACTAGGGGCTCTACGGGCCTGTCTGCGAATTCTTGGTGGCCTCGGGACACTACTTGTGCTCGCCACCGCACCAGCTTGTACTGCACTTATGGGACTCGCCACGTCACCAAGTGATACTGCAGTGCTGGTATGTATACGACCAGGATGTACTAGGCCGCTGGTGCTCGCCAGTTCACCAAAAGGTAGTGCGGCACTAGTACTGGCACTCTGCTGCATATGAGAGTCATCATGCATTTGTACCACCTCAGCAACCTGGGAATGGGATCGGGTACACCTGATCTTAGCAGGGACCTCTTCCTCGTCGTCTGAGCTATCTGTCAGGGTGCCGCTGCTGTCTATAGGTTCGTATTCTGAGCCTGATTCTGCCAGTGAGTCTTCCCCTTCACTCTCACTTGACATGCTCAGAATCCTATAGGCCTCTTCACTAGAGTACCTTTGCTTGGACATTTTGGCCACTAAATTTACAGGTACTTAGTGCGACTCACGGGAAAAAGAGCGCCTGGCTGTCAGGGGACTGCTTGAACCGCTACAAAAAATGTACCGACAAGTGCTAACAGAGATCAGGCCTGATTCTGTGAACACTGCGGTTTTGTGTGTAATATGTATCAAGTGACAGTTATCTACTGCCACTGCACTTGCTGGGGGAGGGGGGCGTAGGGGCTAAACGCAGGTGCTGGCAGGTGTCGGGGCTGATCCCGCTAACGCTGCGTTTTTGGGGATACTATAGTAATGTGAACGCTGGTATAGCGCTGATCTGATCAAAGATATTGATCCAATCAGACACTATACTAGCAATGGAGGTTTAGCGTGCAAGTAAGCGTGTTCCTGGCAATCGAGGGGTCAAATGTGATTACTTGTGTACTAGCGGCAAACTGGCACTATCTGGGAGGGGCGCTAACACTAATCGGAAGTCACCAGTGACACTAATACAGTGACCAGTAAAAATCTGTTCACTATAATCAATGACACTGGTGACAGGGCAGTGAAGGGGTCAACTCATGGGGGGGGGGGGGGAAGGCAATCAAGGGGTTAGACGGGATTACTGGTGTACTGGCGGGCAATCTGGCGCTATCTGGGAGGGGCGCTAACACTATCAGAAGTCGCCAGCGACACTGATACAGTGATCAGTAAAAATCGCTTCACTGATCAGTGACACTGGTGACAGGGCAGTGAAGGGGTTAACGGGGGGAGATCAGGGGGTTAAATGTGTCCTAGGTGTGTTCTAACTGTGGGTATGTGCTGTTTTAATCACTGTTAGTATGTCTTCTTCTCTGTCTGGAACGGAATGTGTCCAGGCAGAGAAGAATGACATCATATCCTGTCCTGTGTAAATGTCAACACAGGACAGGATAGGACAGGGACCGATCATCTGATTTCAGCCAGACATCACTGGCTGAAATCTAATGATTGATCCCTCCGGGATCGAATGGTGTCACCCGCGGGTCGGTGGGAGCGCGCGCCCCCTGCCCGCAAAAAACAACGTGCTTTTGCGCCCCCAGTGCCGTCCTACACACGTATATATACAGTGGCAGGGCGGCAAGTAGTTAACCTGTAGTGCATTACTGTAGCCACCACATCTAAGGACTAGTTTACATTTTTTTTTTCTAAAACTTAGATACACTAAGTGTCAAAGGGTTGGGGGGGTAGGACAAAAAGTATGAAAGGCCTTTAAAGAATGTAGTTTCTCACCTTAGAGGTCTCAATGATGTTCTTAAGGTGCAGAACAGCATGTTGTCTCACCACTGGCTGTGGATGATTTAAGCTGAGTAGGAGTGATGTATGGCAATCTGCCAGTAGCTGTAATAGGATTAGATAATTATAATAAAATTATATATATATATATATATATATATATATATATATATATATATATACACACACACACACACATACACACACACACACACACACATACACACACACACACACAACACACACACACACACACACGACCCCACTGTGGACGAAGGAGCACAGCAGTATTGTTAATCTGTTCTTTTTATAGCACACCGCAGTTACTCAAGCAGTTAAAGCAACAAATTTTCTTTTTTTGGGAAAAGGGTTTTACATGAATAAAAACTGATCATTTTAGGCACCAATGTCAGTGGTAAATGGTTTGTATCAACACTCTTGACTGATACACTTGCAAGAGAGCTTGTTCTGTTGAAAAACAAACTTACTGGCCAGATCACAAAATGAAAATGAAAGATCTAAAAAAAAAAACAAAAAAAAAAAAAAAACACGAATGCAGCCATTCCATCTAAGAATTGTTAAGCTGTGCAATATAATGTTTGCTTCTAGGTTTGATACCTCTTTAAAATTTGACCAAAAAGGAATGCAAATCCAGCTCAACATCTTAGTCCTTTAAGATTGGTCCTTTAGGCAGCAATCAAGTTCTTCACCTTGTTTAATTTCTGGGAGAGTTCTCTTATCTTGATAGAGCCCCTCCAGTGACCTTTAATTGCATCTATACTCCAAATTTTCAATACCCATCATGACACCTGAAAGTGCTTAGACAAGCTATGATTTGTATGCCCCTTTTTTAGATTATGAATGGGCTCCACTAATCTTACACATAACTTGAGTGGGGCCACAAGGGCATTTTCGTAGTAAACAAAATGTTGAAGTATATTTTTTTTTTCACTCTTAGTCCTTACCATTGGTGTTGGACTTAAAATAGAAGTATGGAGAGAAAAAAAAACAAATTTTTGTACTCACCTACGCATCATCAATCCAATCGCTTAGTTCCCTACCTCTGCTCTGAGTAAAGAGCCGTGACTGTCAGTCAATGGCCTCTCTGCTCTGCCCCTCCAGCGCTCACTGGAGAGCTGGGCTCTGGAGGTGGGTGGGAGGGGCTGGCTCAGGCTCTCAGTGGATTGTTCAAAGGCTGAGCAAGGTGCCAGTCCAGGCACGTGGGTGGATCCAGCCCAGCCTGGATTTGCTGAGTGACATCAGCCCATTGGGTCACAGGAGTGCAGAACGAACTGCACTCTTGTGACCTCCAGGAGAAGTATAGCCAAAATAGCTTTGGCTATACTTTTTTAAACTCATCTATTTTTCTTTTTGGATTATGAGCAAATCTACATACCTCATTCTTTATGGGGACACAAACCTGTAAAATTAAAGCATCAAATTTTCATTTCTTACAGGAGGAGAGAACATTATAAACTAGTTTCTTCTGAGCTTTGGTGCTTTTGGAACACTGTCTGGGGTTTATTTGGAATAAGAGGGCCCAACATCCCCTCTTTTCAAAAATGGCCAGAACTTTATAATAATGTTCTTTAAATCTTTGTACTAGCTATTACAATCCATGACCAAACCAAAACCCATTTCTGTAGGTATCCTTTTGTCCCTATCCTCCAACATTGTTATCATTCCTATATCATGTCTCAATTTTTCTAATATTCCTCTACCATTTCCCTTTTTTTACACAAACTGGTTTTAAAATCACTTCCATTCCAGTTAGATAGTGGTCATACTTTGAACAGTTTCTCTGTTGCATTCTACTTGTTGCTTTCCTACTACCTGTGAACCATGCAAAGCCTACCATACTGCCTCCATGCTATATTGATGCTGAATATATGTATGTAATACTGTAACATCTATAGTGGCAAAATATATTGGACCATCATTTTGCCATCAATAAGTTTAATGATAGCTTGGGCTTTTAAATGATGCATCATGATTAGTTTGAGGTCTAGAACTAGGACTTGAACATATAGAGGCGGAGGTGACATTAGGTGCTGGACCCAGAAGTGGGGTATTTTTTTTTTACCAGCTTCCATTTTGTATGCTTGTAAGGACGTTAATCTGTGATGTTTATGCGAGGGCTATAATGTTAACATTAAGTGCAAGTTTTATGCTTCCTACACTAAGGAGATTGTTTTATTCTATGTGGGATGCCTAAACTGGGGTGAAGAGTGGAGGAACTGAAAATACGTTGGTCCTAGGTGAAGGAGAGCGATACCTGGTGACCAAATATTACATCTTTTGTTATATCGCCTGCTTAGTAATAAGGGGTCATATACCGTATATCTGGCAAGTGTTCTGTATGCCTATTTATGTGGACACTAACAGTGGCTTCATACTGCCACGATGTGGTTTTGCTGTGCTTTGGGCAAAGGGTTTCATTTGGATCAGTTGAGCTTTCCATAGACTTATTTGTTTTTAGTGCAGCTTTAGAAAGTACACCAAAAAAATTCAGCATGCAGTTCTGAAACATCAAAACCGTAGGACCCCATAGAAGTGTTTGGGAAATAACAGCTAACTCCACCCACATATATAAGCTCAATTTGTGCACCTAAGTGTAGATGTACAATCATTTATACATTAAATTTTTGCTTATTGAATGTTGCAGTGTAAAGTGGTTTATATGCACTGAATGGTGTATTATCATAGAACATATATGCAATACTTTATGTAGTATGCAAATGCATATACACACACACACACAGTGAAGGAAATAAGTATTTGATCCCCTGCTGATTTTGAATGTTTGCCCACTCACAAAGAAATGATCAGCCTAAAAAATCGAATGGTAGGTGTATTGTAATACTGAGTGACAGAATAGCAACAAAAAATTCAAAAGAGAAGCGTGTCTAACACATTATGCACCGATTTGCATGTTCATGAGGGAAATAAGTATTTGATTCCCTATCATTCAGCAGAATTTCTGACTACTAGGTGCCTTTCATACAATTAACAAGTTGAGATTAGAAGCAGCCTTTTAGAGGGGAGTGTGCATGCACGGCCGGCGGGACGGACATGTCTCCGAGGCTCCGTCACACCCGCGGGGACGACAGCCGCCCGCTCGCAGATCCCAGCCCCTGCAGCTTAATAAGCAGTCCCGGTCTCCTTGGCAACCCCCCTGGACAAGCCAGCATGGTCAGGGGAACGCTCCGACATCAGGCTCTGCCGCCCAGCAAGCCCATCAAGGAGGCCCTAGCTCGTGCCTCCTCCAAGATGGCCACCGCACCATCTCCTTCTGGAAGAAAGCAGCACAGCCCTATGCAGCCCTGCAGTCAGCACGACGCTCAAATGTGCAAATTCGTGGCCTTCCAGAATCGGTCATTGACGTCCAATCTACCATCACAGCATTGTTCCAAGAGCTTGCCCCAGCCATCCCAATAGAACGCCTGGAAATAGACAGGGTCCATAGGGCACTACCTCCGAGAAGCACCAATGGCCCACCACGCAATATTATAGCCAAACTCCACTTTTTTCGTACCAAATAGCAACTCTTACAAGCAGCCAGCAACGTGGAATCTCTATCGTGCCAGGGTCACACCTACCAACTGTTCCAAGACCTCTGCCCCACTACTATCGCCAAATGTAGGGCTATGAAACCTCATCTGCAAGCGCTCCAGCAACATGGAATACCATATAAAAATGGAGCGTCCCCTTCGCAGTGCGTTTCCGCTACCAAACCGGAGACTATATCTGCAAGACCCCTGATGAATTATTGGACACCCTACGGAACCTTCAACTACGACAATCAACAACACCGTCAGAAAGCTCCAGACAGCGATCTGCGTCTTGCTCACCGCAGAAATCCCACCCTCCACACCTCACCAATGGTCAACTTAACACCCACAAACGAGGGCGCTTCTCATCACCTGCTCTGTCTCCACAAAAATCCATGGACTGAGTCTCACCAATCAACTCTTGCCTCACCACCAACACATGACACCACTGAACTTCTAGCAACGCAGCGGTCAACATCCACGGTGTCTATTTTCCTCTCCCCTCACTCAGATGCAGGCATCATGTATCCTTCTGTTAGCCCCCAGGGCCCATTTTGTCTAATTTTTTTTCCCTTTTTTTATATGTATTGGGGAAAAAAATGTATTTTTATTTTTCCTGCAAGTTAATGGTTATCTTGACTCTTTTTCTCTCCAATGTTTTTGAGAGTTTGTTGTGCCTTACATGCTACATTTTGCACTACCTTGCTATGGTTGTATTTATTCATATGTATGGGGACCCCAGTTCTGGCGGCACACGAAGCTACATATCCTTATCCTCACTGGCCTACCCTGACGGCCGGTGCCGTCCGGACTCAGGACCCCTTGGTTCTTTATTTTCCTACCTTATCCCCAGGATCTTGCCACCATATATTTACTTCAATGCTGTCGTTCCTGCAGTTCTGTGTACTCGCCACTAGCCCCTGTGGTATTTCATTTTTGATACCGCTTGGTCTACTACTGTTCCCTAGGCCACCCTGTTACTGAGTGACTCTAGGGACCACTTTTTGGACCTAGAGTGGCCCTCCACATCCTCCCCCTAGCACCTTTCCCTAAATCTATCCTTTCCCCCGCCCTCCTACATGACTCCACAACCTCATCTATGCTCCTATATCACACAATCGCTTTCTACCATGATTACCAGATTCCCAACCAGTTGATACTTTATCATTTAATACACCATACACTCTACCCATGGTTTCTCTAAATATTCTTACCCCGAATGTTCAGGGAATCAACATACCACAGAAACGCAACAAGGCCTTCCGCTCATTTGCATCATATAAAGCTCATATAGTATGCCTACAAGAGACACATTTCACTCCCACTTCCAATCCCAAATTCTTTGGCCCCCCGTTACCCACAGGTCTACACAGCCTCTGCCGCAACCAAACACAGAGGGGTACTCATCGCCTTCCACCGCACGACACCCCTTTACATTGTATAATGAGATTAAAGATCCTGAAGGCAGTTATCTCTTGCTATCCGGACTACTTTTAGATGTAGAAGTCACCATTGCTACATATTACGCCCCAAACC